TCAAAGCTTAGGGTTTTGACGTTCCGGGTTGAGGGTTCTGGGCGCTCAGTCTTTAGGGCTTTGGGGGTTTAACCTAAACCCTATACCCTAAACCCTAAACCCTATAGGGTTTAGGGTTTAGGAGTTCGTGTGCAACAGTTTAGAAGGGCGCGGTGTGTACATGCTGCTCGTTAGGTCCAAGCACTGGCAACTGCATTCGCAACATCTCTCACATTACAGCGAATGGTCTCAATAAACGGTCCGAGGCTTGGCTTAAGAAGCGAATCATGTTCGAAAAAAATACTACCCTAAACCCTAAACCCTGAACCCTAAACCCTTGTCCTGGCATTCCGTGTGCCCGCTATGCGTGTTGTTGCAAAAGCTGCGCATGCAAGGCGCAAGGTCAGGCAGAATTGCGAGCATGGGTTCATGGGACTTCATGGTTTCCGGGCTTAGGACGTAGTTTTGGGGTTTAGGGTTTAGGGTTTAGGGTTTAGGGCTTAGGGTTTAGGGCTTAGGATTTAGGTTTAGGGTTTAGGGGTTAGGGCTTCGGACGTATATGTCTGGGTTAAGACCCGACTTGAAATTGGGATAGGCCATATGAGTCCAGTTACAATAAGTAGGGCCCTGCACCCTAAACCCTGTAAAGTTATAGGCCAGTTCGAAAATGCTCCTGATTAGGGTTGAGGGTTCGTGTGCGCCTTGACCATCACGCCAGCCCGCGTGAGGCTGACAGCCCATCAGGGCTCAAGCTGTAGGGTTGAGGGCTTACGCTTTAGGTTGTAGGGTTTAAACTTTAAACTTTAGGGTTTTGGGGTTTAAGGCTCTCTGAACGGGGACCTCCTTGGGCAGTCATCATAAACATGACTTGAAAACAGCATTTCCGACAATTATCTCGTATTCCTTCGGAAGACTCAAGCATTGCAAAAATTACGCGTAATTTCTTGTGGCCCTAGGCTATACCTATTTCGAGAAACCACATTGTCGTTGTAGAGTCCAAGCAACGAGCCCTCCACGTCTTGGATCTCCAAGCAAACACTTCCATCATTTTATCCTATTATAAATAGGGTTTAGGATTTAGTGTTTAACGTCTCAAGGGTCTTATCCTGCGATAGACCAAAACAAAAGTTTCTACATAGGTTCCCCCCAGAAGCAGTTCCCGAAAAAGCTCTCATCTTAATTGCCCCAATGGACTTGTTTCGAACAAGAACCTTCGTTGACGGCGTACGGGCAGTTCAGGGGATTGCAACTACAGGACGAGTACAGCTACAAATTTATTAGAGGACTGATTACCCCACCCATGACTACCCATGACCCATTCCTAATCCCTGACCCATAAGGTTCTGTTGGCGAAAGACCCTTCGAACCTGAACTGGCAAGCCTGGAAGACCCTCGACCTGCCTACGCCAAAACGGAGCCAGGCCACAAAGGCAATTTTCTTTATGATTTGGGGCCTTGGGCTCTGGGCTTAGGGATTTGGGTTGAGGGTTCAGGGTTGAGTGCTCAGGTGCTTTTCAGCGCCGCTTTTACTCGGTCAGTATTCCGGGTTTAGAGTCCAGGGCTTATGCTCAGCGGTTCAGGGTCTAGGGTTTAGAGATCTGGGTTTGGTTAACTGAGGGCTTATGATTCAGGGATCATCATTCTGTGGGTAGAACCTAAACAAATAGGACCTGCTTCCCTGATTTTGGGGGGCTCCGATGTTCCGTCTACTTAAGGCTGGTTGAAAACATACTCCACCCTGTTTAGGGTCTAGGGTTTAGGGTTTAGGCGAGCCCCATATAGACCCAACTTAAAGGGAGAGTAATTCAAAGGGGCTTTCTTTGTCAGGTTCCATGCTTGTCGGGCAGAGTGTGAACCCCAAACTCCAGACCCCGAATTACATGAACATCTGCCTCCAGGAAACCCCCCACATCGGCCTGCATCTCAAACGCTCAAAACCTGAACCCCACATCCTAAAGCCCAAACCCTAAACACCAACCTCTTTACCCTAAACCCTAAACCCTCAACCCTATGAACCCTAAACCTAAATCGAAATCCTAACCTTGTACAATCCCTACTTGGAGGTCCATTGTACTTATAACCTGCTTAGTAACTGTAGTCCTAACCCAATTATATTTAGGGTAACTGTAGTTGTGGGACTTATAATTAGGTTCTAACCACAATTACTAAGCAGGTTATAACAACAATGGACCTCCAAGTAAGCCTTCTCCTGCCCTTCTCCACACCAACCCCCCCCCCCCCCCCCCCCCAGTTTTTTCATTTGCGTGCGCAGAGCAGCACGAAGACCGAAGCCCTGAGGGTCAGGCAAGGTACCTAGAATTCGGCAGGCCAACCTCCTATGAGGGAAAGGTAAGGCTAAGTTGCATCTCAAACTCAGAACCTGAGCAAGCCGCATCCATCCCTGGAACTTCGACTTGATATTCATATCACTTCCATGATGAGTAAGATTGTTTTCTTATAGTAATTGAATGGTATATTCTGATTCGATTTACTATACTATTCCTATTTTTAAGTATTCACTTGTATTCCTATTCGTATCATTTTTGATATTATTCTATTCTTCTCTTTATCATCATTAGTAGTATTGTTATTATATATTATTGTCCTTATCATTGTTTGTATCATCCATGTGTTTTTATTCGCCAGACCTACCCCTTTTTATGACCAAAGGTATTGCCAATGACTCCTTGGAGAGCCATGAGGCGGCTGGAGGGGAGGGGCAGAAATTTTGAGGTCATTTGGGTTTGGGGTTTCTGTCCACAAAGCAGGGTCCCTCCAACGTACACGCAGTCTTATATTATCATCCCAGTTCTGAGTTAGTAATGAATATTTCCATTTTCTCATCATGCACCAACCCCTAGCACCCAAACCATAA